GAAGAAAAAAAAATGTACATTTTGATTCTTTCAAAATCTAAGATTATCAGTGTTACTCTTTTTTTAATCTTGATAATATGTAACAATATAAATAAGGTGATAGTCTTGAGGAATGATATTTTACCTTTTCTACCAAGGTTCTCTGTTGTTGCTTTTTTTTGTTTTGTTTTGTTTTTGCATTTAGTTAAGAGATCTGGGATTTTAACAAAAGAAAAATACAAATAACTAAATATATATTTTATATATATATATATATATATATATATATATATATATATATATATATAAAGTGTGTGTATGTGTATATATATATTATATCTACGTGTATAAAAAAATATATAAAAAAATAAGTGTGTGTGTGTATAGAGTTATATCTACATGTATAAAAGTGTGTGTGTGTGTGTATATATGTCTATATATATAGTTATATCTACATGTATAAAAATATATAAATGTGTATGTGTGTATATAGTTATATCTACATGTATAAAATTTGTGTGTATGTGTGTGTGTGTATATATATATATATATAGTTATATCTACATGTATATATATATATGTTATACATGTATGTATATGTGTGTGTATATATATATATATATATTAGTTATATCTATATGTATAAATATATATATATTTATATAATATGTATATGTATATATTAGTTATATCTACATGTGTATGTATATATCTATATATGTATATGTATGTATATAGTGTACTTTATTAAAACTAATGTTTTCTTTTCACTACATTCATATGTATATCTGTTAATTTCATTTTTTATTTGATACAAAATATTTTTCTGAAAAATAAAATTTAAAAAAGAAAAAACTCTTAAAATAATTTTAGAATAGAAAACAAAAAAAAAATAGCTTTTAGCCGATGACAAAAATATTTGATTTTGTTTTGATGCTATAAAGAAAAAGATCTAACAAGTACAAATGAATATTGGCTTTTTCGAAGTGTATACGTGTGTGCATATACATATAAAATTAAGGTAAAATGTTTTTTTTGTTGTTGCAACATACACACCAAACATAGAGCTTTCTGAACAATATATATCATATTATATCATAATATATCAATATACATTAGTGAATAAAACACAAAGATACTTTATAATAAAAAAAAAAAAAAAATAAAGAGCAAGAATTAACTCTTTTCCATCGCAGTTGTTACATTTGAATGTATGAAAAGCATATACAAAGAGAATATCTATGATGAACAAAGATAGGATATATCTATATAAATGATCATTATAAAAAGTTAATTTAAAGAATAGAAAAAAAAAAGATAGTGAAGCATTAGTTAATTAATATTTGCCTAAAAATTTTTCACCAAACTAAAAATACAAATTTTTCAAATAATATCTTCAAATAAAGGAAAATAATAACTACAATTGTGCGAAACTTATATATAATATATATAGTTTCATTAAAGACAACTTACAAGGTACTGAAATTAAGCTTGTTATTCAATTTTTCTTGTGTTCATAAAAGTGTACTTTTTTTGGCTATAAAGTGTGTAAAAATTGTTCAAATGTTCTATATATCTGAGAACTTTTGGCTATTCTATCATATATTTTAAAAGCACTTGGATATATTGAACATTTAAACAGTTTTCTTTACACACTTTATGTACAGAAAAGAAAATATTTTGAATAAAATGTCTCACCACAACACCTTGTCAGTCACCTTTAATGAAATTTAATTAAAAAAAAAAATTAAGTGGTTGATGCCTTTATATATATATGTGTGTGTGTGTTTGTATATGTATGTATGTTCTTTAATTGTTGTCTCTCCTTGATAATTCTTTCCTTTTCTCTTATTCCCTCATACTTGGTAACTCCTTGCATCTTGGCCGCTTCTTTTGTCTTGCCTGGGGTGAAATGATTTTTATAAATATATATATATATATATATATATATATATATATATTTAAAAATAAATAAAGCACCCAACAAAATGCACAATTTTGTTCATAAACAGAGGAGACACACACACATTTTTATATATATATATATATATATATATATAGATAGATAGAGGGATTAAATATGGGTTAGAATCTGACAGGGTAAGGAACAAATAGGAAATGTTTATAAATTTAAGATGTTTCACTTTTACTTAAACTTCATCAGAGAATAAATATGGAAAACAATAGAAAATTCCAGTTATTATTTTTGCGTTGTTTGTTTCTCATTGGTTAAGCAGACCCCACATACATTTGTTTTATCAAGCAGCATTTGTGTGTATAATTCCTGTGTTTTGGGACATAATTCTAGTTGGTCTATGCAGGATTTGGTTGATAATGCATATGCATTTTTATTTATTTCTGGTAGTGTTCATATGTTGATTGGGGGACATTTTGTGTGAAACTGAAAGAATTTAGGTTACACTGGTTGTGGTCATAAGTCGACAGATCTTAGATTCTTTAAGTATGGATTTTATAAAAGTTAGTGAGATGACAAAATGTGTTTGACGTGTGTTTCTTGATGGTAAAACATTTATCAGGATTCCTTCTACGTATTTTCTATATAATAAATTATGTTCTTTTTTCTGCCAACCTAATTAGAAATTTATCAATGCTTCCTATTTATTCCTTATCCTATGCACACACGCACTATATATTAAAATAGAAAGAACAGTCAGATTAATAATCGATAGTTTTTAGGATTTATTTTTTTTAAGTGCTTAATACAAAGTAGAGTTTATATTATTATTTTAAAATATTTTTTTTTTAAACACAGAATTATACTTAGAACTTTGATTATTGTTTTTCAAACGATATTCAATAACTTCAGAAGAAAAAAATGGTTTCTGAAGTCACTGAATATCACTTGTAAAAGGAACAATAATTTTAAGTTCTGAAACATTGAAATTTCTGTGTCACAATAAAAAAATATTTTTAAATATGATATGTCCATGGATTTTTTCCCCCCCACAAGATGGCCTCTATCTCAAGCACTGACATTAATCCTATGAACTTTGTGATATGGTCCATATTTTTCACCATATCTGCGAAATATGCCTCCCAACAGAAATTCAACCAGTATTCTCTCTTTCATCAGAGAAATCACTCCATTAGAACAGGTACACTTTGACTAAAGAAGTAGCCTCCCCAATGAAAGAAGGAATACAGGATCAATTCCTGTTTGCAGACATATTTTTGGTTAGTAAGGATTTCAATTTCTAAGCTGGTTGACATTAATTTCATCAAGGATGTCAGCTCACACTGTGTACCTACTAAAAATAACATTGTAATATATATATATATATATATATATATATATATATATATAATATATAAATATATAATATCAACATAAGTCATAGTCTGTTTCATGCTAGATGCAATCGCCAGGCCACGAAAGTGCTCTAGCATGAAACAGACTGTCACCTTTAAGTGTTGACTTCTATGTTCACTTTTATATTTACACACTCTCTATCTGATATTGAGCACTTTATCCCATAAATATAGCACATCTTAAGACTATATTTCTTCATATGCATGTCTCAATGGTAACTGAAAAAAATAAACAAAATATTAAGATAATTTATCTTGTTTTTCAGGCTAGGAAAACTACCAAAATTCACTCAATAGAAAAATATGACTTTAATATTAAATAAATCAAGAAAAGTTCACGTGACATCTGGTTATATATATATATATATATATATAAAAAGAGGGACACTGTGTGTATGTAACCTCCAAGTTACAGAAGCAGTGCATTGTAAGCAGAGACACTGGATTAAGGTAATCCTAAAATAGGCTAATTTAAAGAATGCACAAAATATATCTGGAGATAAGTTAAAAAATATGGATTATCAAGAGAGATAAGTATTAAATGTTAATTATATAGTACTTTCTGTAATTTCTTTGCAAATATCTCTAAAAAGAAATAAGAGAGAGAGAAAGAGGAAGAGAGCAATAGAGAGAAACAGAGGTTTATTTTGATCACATGATATTTCACTAATTTTCTTTCAAATGGTGACCCAACAGTTATAGGTTTGTCTAGTTTTAAGTGAAATTATTAAAAAGTAAAACTTAGAAAATAATTTAGGACAATAAAAGTGATTGAAAATTTCTAATAAAATGTGTAAGTCATTAGTTTAAAAAAATAAAAAAATATTTGTATCCTACTGTTTCCAAATTTCATTACATTGTAACAGATAATACAAACCCTGGTCATGGCGCAAAGCTAAAGACCGAAAAAATATGAAAATAAATAAAAGTAAAAACAAAAAAGACAGCTCAGATGTTGCAGAGGTGCATGTGTGTGTGCGTGTGTGTGTGTGTGTGTGTGTGTGATGTTCTAAATTTTGTTGCTTCAATGCCAGTATTTTTTTTTTTACAGCTGATTTTAATTCCAAAAACAACAAAAATAAATTTGTTAATTTTTTTTTTTTTATAAAAGGGTGATATTTTTTTAACCATGTAACAGAACACAAGTGAATTGTTTGAAGTTTTTGAATTTCCTAAAAAGTATTTTGATGCTTACTGAAAATTAAGAAAAAAAAAAAAAAAAATTAGCAAAATTTTAACAGAAATAAGCAAAAACCTTTTTATGAAATCACTATCATCATAATCAATGCTTTATACTACCTTAAAATCAATTAAATAAATCACCATCGCAATCAATGATTTATACAACCTTAGACTATCAAAAATAAAGAAGAGGGCTTAGTATGTTCATCTTACAACAAGAAAAATAATGAACAAGCAATTTTCAAAATTTGCATCTGCTGTTACAACTAAAATTCAATACACTATTTCTTTAATATTCCTCTTCATTCATAAAAAAAAAAAAACTTAATTTAAAAAATTTACATGAGATGTATTTGCAGTATGAGGCATGGTAAAAAAAAAAAACGTTTAAAATAAAATACATAATTTGATGGGAAGATGTAAACCTGATGGTTACTTTTGCTAATATTATAATCATTATTAATATTAATGTAAAAACTCTTTTTCCAGCTCAAATATGCTAGGCTTACTGGCTGGTGCTGGCCTATGGGATTTGACGAGAGGTTGGGTGCTGTCTTGACTCTGTCCCTCAACATCAATATCAAGCAATGTCTTTTGATGTTCAATGTGTGGGGGAGTGTTCCCAGGAGAGTCTTTCGACCATGTCGAACTGTATAGTGGAGAATCACCTGAGGGCCTATGAAGGTGCTGCGTATTTGCATATCGAGGTGGTACATAGCGGCCCCCAATGTCCAATGTATTTGGCCGCTCAGCAAGATCCCCACTGTGTCGCAAGCGTGCTACATCCTGTGTCCTATAATCATGGCCTGGAGAGTACCTCCCGTCATAATCATGAGGAACATAGGAAGAGTTAGAGGTATTTGAAGGTGTACGCCTGTGAGTATACATGTGGTGTCTTTTGTCTATGTTGCATTCATCCTCAAATGTCACTGAGTGACGGTGTGTGCTTGTTGCTTTCGAAGTTCGAGTAGAATCATAAGTGCTGCCTTCTGATGCCTGCCTTTGCAGCGTAGGAAAGTCATGCCTGTCTGAAGACATCAGATGAATAAGGTTTGAATCGCTGTCTATGAGAGATGACCTCTGACCAGAAGACATATTTGAATGTACTCCAGCTTGCTGCTGTTGCAAAGAGTCCTTAAGCGGTTGAACACAGAATTGTATCGGTACATCAAAGTTTGCACTTGGTCGGTTTTTGCTTTGTGGACCATGGTATGTGTGGTGATGGCCAGCGGTGGAAGGTGAAATGTGACAGTTTTTGAAGTCTCCCTCAGGCTTGATGAAAAAGTCTCGGACAGCAGCAAAGTAAGCGTCACGCCGGTTAAGAATAAACATGTCCCGTTTGTTAGAACGTCCTTCGTTACCACTGACCCAAGGGTTATCATCAAATGCACCTTGCATGGTTGGATGTGTGGCTGTGGTGTTTGAAATGCGGATGTCAAATCCAGCAGCCACTGCAGCCAGTAGAACTGTCATGTCGTAAAATACATCATCAGTCTTTTTCCGCACGGAACATCGTTTCAGGTTTCCGCCACTATCACATGTTGGGCTGAGTGGACTGCTCATTCCAGAGGGGCAATTGGCCCCGTTACTACCAGGAGAGGAAGGGTATACACTGTCCATGAGTTCTGTAGGAAATGCATCCTCTTCACCATCTGTAAAAAATATAGGGGAGAAAAAAAAAAAATCACATCAATTCAAACATTTTATATTTTGAAGGAACAAAGATTATTTTTTTAGCGAGAAGAGATAAAGATGTATGAACTGAAACATAATATACAGCACCAACATTGTTGACATGCCGACATGGACAGCGCCAACACAGTCGACATGTCAATATGGACAGCGCCAACACAGTCGACATGTCAATACACTTGTCTCTTTTAACTTAATATTTTCAGTATTTCTCTGCAGAAAACAGAAATATATAAGTCTATATGATATTTACATATGGAGGATTGTTCTCCTTTTGGTTGTTATTTTCAAAGCATTTCAGCCATTGTTCCTTTTGGTGTTCATCAAGTAACCTTCAAGAAATTTAGAACTGAACTCTTTATTTAATTATTTACAATATTTCCACGGAACTCAAGTACACACTGCCTGGCCTAGGGATTAAAACTCACAATTATTATGTTCTCAAATTCACATAACATTTAATCCACAACATTATTGTCGCTATATTTGATTTTGTTAAGATAAAAAAAAAAGTCTATTTCTGTCATTGAATCACAATAAATAAGGTTCAGCACCAAAACTTTCAACAAGATTGGAACATCCAATTTACAAACAGTATTGAACCACTACAAAAACTCGTACAGAAGGTAGCAAAAAAAAGCAAGAAGAAAGGACTAAACATCAATTGCAAGAAGACAAAATGTCTGGTTGGTAGCAAAATGGAACAGCCTAACATGCAAATTACAAACTGGAGATACCAAAACCAAACAAGTACAACAATCTATATATCTGGGAATTCTTTTAACAGAGGATAGAAAGTGCAACATTGAAATCTGAAGGCACTTTAGGATAGCAAAAGATGCCTTCCAAAAGCTAAGAAAAGTATTAAAAACAGGAAAATTTTCTGAAAAACAAAGAAAAGAGTACTGAACTTATGTAACATCAGTACTCTTATATGGCAATAAATGCAGGACAATCTCCTCACAGATGAGACTTAAAAGAACAGAAATGTGATTCTACAGAAGGATACTGAGAATACCATGAACTGAAGATGTGAGCAGATTTTTAGAGAAAATGTAAACAAAAAGAACCCTTATACTTAAAATCAAAAAGAGTTGGAATTTCTAGGGTATATAATGAGGAAAGAGGGCTTGGAAAATCTGATACACACAGGACAGGTTGAAGGCTAAACAGACACACACATACATACATATATATATATATATATATATAAAACAATAAAATCCAAGATCACCTCATATGAGGAATAGCTTATTTCAGTAGATGAAAATATCTGTCTTATCAACCATAGTGAAATAGCCAAAATAGGCTATTCCCCATATGAGGTGATTTGGGATTTTATTGTTTATCAATTATTTGCTTTGTAATAATAAATACAATGAGCTCTTTTTGTGGAAAGGTTTTAATATTTTCTATTACTAGGATCTACTTGGATTATATACCAACAGATTGTTACCTTTACTATATATATATATATGTGTGTGTGTGTGTGTGTGTAAGAGATATAACACCAAATGAGATAGCAACAACAGCAAGACAGAGGCAAGAATATACAAAATAAACTGCCCAAAATCAAAATGCCCAATGACATACATTAGCAAAACATTCAAAATCATCAAAAATAGATAATATGAATATCACAACACTATAAATGCACTAATAGCTCAATGTAATAATATATAAATACCAATTAATACCAATCTGATTAAGAGAGAAAAGGATTCACTTAGAAAATGTATTGAAAGTGTGCTAATCTCACAATTCACAACAATGAACTTGAGACCCGGACCATTCATAATATCAGTGATCATTGCAAAAGCACTAATAATAGCACAATGTGGTATATGAGCTCATAGAGAAAAAAAAAAATTACTCAGAATTGGCCTATTTAAAATTCAACAGAAACCAATGTTTTGAACAATAAAAAGATTTTTAAAAATTAAAATTTTGTCACACTGGGTTGTATATTAACATTGGGGGGGGGTTATTATTTCAATGAGGTTCCTCAACTAGTTTTGGCCATCATCAGGAGAAAAAAAAATTCCTGCTTGTTAACAGCAGTGAACCACAAGAATGAATGACTTTCTGAAGAAAATGAATCTGTAGTTTCATTTGTTTTTTTATCGTTATTTTTGGTCAGTTCTTGTGTTGATCAAACAGCCTCTTTTAAGTTGTTTTTAAGATAGAGCTGTGGAGATTCATGCAATTCAGAATTCCCTTAGTCATTTTGACAGTTTTATTGGTGGCTGGGAAGGGGATGTGTGCATGTTAAGTGTATGTTATCATTTGTTCTTTGGGAGTATGTATGATGTGTGTATATATATATATATATATATATATATATTAGTATAGGTGTGTGTGTGTGCATAAGTGTGAGACCTCCACAAGCATGTCTGTCTTATGTGGGTGAGAAATGTGGGTAGTTATGGGGTTATATATTAATTCTATGTTGTTAAATTTGTGGTTAAGCCAGTCTGGACAAAATGTTTTGGGGAGCAAAATCCATTTGTCTTCATGTTCCGCTAGAATTTTTCTAATGTTATGACTTCTATAGAGTTGTGGTAGATTTTGAAAGTAGATTTTGAAAGTAGATTTAGTGACTGAGCTAGTGAACAAATTGGTGTGCTTAATGTGGTTACAGCATAAGCTCCTTTTGTTGTTACATAGTTGGAAAAATCCTATTGTTTTTATTTTTGTTCTATTATGGATTACTTAATCATCTGAAATTTGGTTAGCTATAATTTCCTTAAGGTTCTTAAGTCTCTGATATGCTAGAAGGCCGGGTTCCTCAAACAAAATTTTTAGGCCTGGTTTGAGATGTAGTATTTCCCAGTGACTTTTGATTATCTAGGATATTAGAGGAAGAGTAGCATTACTAGAGGAATGCATCTGGATTTATTTTTAATTTTGTACATCAGGGTGTCTTCTCTAGGTGTGGAAATTGCTTTATTTATTTGTTCCCTGGTTAGGTGTTGTTTATAGACACATGTTATGAATTGATGCTCAAGATTTTGAGTGTGTTTATTTACTTCTTCATTGTTGGAACATATCCTTCTAAGTGCTTGTGAATAGGGAAGGTTCTCTTAAGGTGTTTAGGGTGGGAAGACTTAAAGTGTAGATAGTTGTGGGTGTTCATGATTTTAGTGTGTAGTGTCGTTCATAGTTTTCTGTTTTTATCAATGTAAGTGCACACGTCTAAAAATGTTACCGATCTTGTTGATTTTTCATGGTTGAACTTAATCAAGTCATGTACCATGTTGAGGGTCATAAGGAATTCAGTGAGTTTCTCCTCACTGACCATGTCTAAGTAGAAGATATCATCAATAAATCTTACATAGAATATGCAGTTGCTATCGCTGAAGGGATAGATATGGGTCTCCTCAAATTTTCCCATAAAAATTGTAACATATGATGAAGCTGCAATGGTGCCCATGGCACAACCTCTTACTTGCAGGTAGTGTTTTCCATTGAAATTGGAAGTATTCAATGTAAGAATATGTTCCATGAGATTTGTGATAACTTCTGTGAAGGGAGGTCTTCTTTTCTTCTTTTGGTAAGTGCTTCTTTAAGGGCATTTAGTCATTTGATGTATATGATGTTTGAATAAAGTCATTTTACGTCCATAATTACTAGAGTAGCATTTTCTGGCACTGTTTTATATATATTTGGTTTGGTTTGTTTTACAGCATATCAACCTCAATGGGTTATTTAATGCCAACAAAATTTTTATTGCTGGTAATATTTGTTTTTTCAAACATGTATTGCTAGTAATATTATTTTGCCTAAAATGTATTGCTGATAATAATGTATTGATGGTAATAATTTTTTTCTTTTACAAAGTATTTCTGTTATTAAGACCTATTTTTACACTTTCATAGGGTTTTGACTCCAATTTTGGGGTTAACTATTTGCCCATAGTTGGAACCCTAACAGGTGCTACCACTCCAGGTCAGAGGTGGTTCTACGCTCCTCAAAACCTCCTGATCAGAGGTCTTACTGTTGGACGTGGTTTATCGTCTTACCCAGGACATGGATGTAATTCATCGTCATACCCAGGACGGGTTTTATATATATTTATATATAAATAATTATTTGAAAGAAAATTTTGGTATTTTTCTTAATCAATTTTCCATGGATACAAAGAAATTGATTCATGGACACAAAAGGATTAAAACAAAAATAAACATTCATGATATGTCTAAATTATTTAACCAAACCTATTTGAATGAAAATATACTGTTTATATATATATATATATATATATATATATATATATGTGTGTGTGTGTGTGTGTTTTAGGCAGCATATGTGTGTGTGTGTGTGTTTAGGCAGCATATATATGTGTGTGTGTGTGTGTGTATTTAGGCAGTATATATATATATATATGTGTGTGTGTGTGTGTATTTAGGCAGCATATATATATATATGTGTGTGTGTGTGTGTGTGTGTGTATTTAGGCAGCATATATATATATATATATGTGTGTGTGTGTGTGTGTGTGTGTGTGTGTGTGTATTTAGGCAGCATATATATATATATATATATATATATATATATATATACACAACAAACACTTTCTGGTTTCTTGTTTTCAGATCTAAGGTAATATAATGGCTTTTATCCTCAAAAATACAAATGTACTTATCTTACACACTTCTGTCTTTCATATCAAACTGAAGAAGCCAAGACCAACAAACATTTGCAAAACACATCATTTGAAAGCTTTTCTACTTTTTCAACAATGCAGATAGTTGCAATGAAAAGCAAGTGAAATTAAGATGACAGTAATATTCATCAAAAACCAAATAATGGTTAACAATGTTTCACCTAATAAAAATTCCAGATAATATTACTACTAATACTATAATGATTATTTTCAATGAAAAGCAAGTGAAATTAAGATGAAAGCAAGAGTCAAAAATTAATAGTGGTAGACAATGCTTCATCTAATCATCATAGACATTTAAAAAAAAAAATCTGACTGTTTCCTATTCTGTCATTTCTGCAGGTTGCAATTCATACAATTTATGATAAAGAAAAAAGTTTGGAATTGTGCAAGAGAGTAAGAGTTATCAGTGGGAATATCTGGACAAAAGGACTTAAGTTTAGTTTGATCACTAAACCATTGTCACCAGCATAACTACAAAAAAAACCATAAAAATAAAAAAGTCTTTGCAAGTCCACAGGAATTGTCGTCATGAAAAAGATCACTTACAAATTTCCCTTAAAGCACTAATATTGGCATGTCCACCAAAGTGATTATAATATTTTTCTAGATTGGGTGCACTCGACCAACGGCCATCAGCAAAAATAACCGACGATCTTTGGTGACGGTCCTTCTGTACAGAGCTCGGTCCCCATGTTTTACCTTTGACCCCATCAACAGGATCTGTAGACAAAAAAAAAAAGAATAAAAAAAAAATACAGACAAGTACAAATTAATGAATTTTATAACATGATCAAAAAAGTTCTTTCTAAAAAGAGAAAAACAAAAATATTGGCAAACATGAACCTTTGAGTCTGCCAAAAAAAAAAAAAAAAAAAAAAGTGTGTGTCAAAAGGACAGCTTTTCCCTTGACACTGCTATCATTTTAACTACCTTCACTCCGCAGCAATGTTTATTGTTTTAACAAGCGATGATTAGAATTGTAATTAAACCTAAACATATGAAAGTGAATTTATACATTTTCTTTGTTCTTGAGAATTGGCAACAAAAATAATAAACACTATTTATTTTTTAGATTATTTATTGGAATGGTTGGCAAAATATCAGTTAATTGCCAATTGATTCGAACTATATAAAAAGGTAAATAAAGGATTTCCTTCTTGTTGGTTCACATACTAAATGTTTATAAATTTATGAAGAAAAATTGTTTTCATATTTATTTCTTTATAAATTGGTAAATGATAAATATTGCATTTAATTAGTTTTAATTGTATTAGTTTTTAGAATTATGTAAATATAAAATTATTCTTGTAAATAAACAATCTAAATATAAATAGGGTTTAGTTTTTTTGTTGTAAATTCTCAAGAACAAAAAAAATAACTTTCATCATATGTTTAGGTTTTATTGCAATTTTAATCACTTTTTAAAACAATAAACACTGTCAAGCAGTGAAGGTAATGGTGTCATGGGGAAAAAATGACTTTTTGACATTTTTTAGTTTTTTTTTTTTTTTTTTGCAGGTGCAAAGGTTCATGTTTGCCAAAATGTTAATACCAAAAGCATTACACTTTTTGTTACATGCTAGTCACCTTGATTTGCCAACAATTTCACTCTACTTAAGTGTCTCAGTAATTGAGGATACAGGTGCATGACTCTCAGATTATGTTAGCTGCATTGGGTGGGTCATAATAAGAGACATCTAGGAGTGGCATTTCAAACATATTTAGCACCAAAGTTTCTTTGTGCTTTCATCATTTGTATACAAATGTTTTCTCAGATCAATGATGAAAAAGAGTTTCCAGCAAATGAACCCTGTTAGTCTGAGAGATGACCCTCCTTCAAATCTCATGGACTGACCTTACAAAGTCACAAACAAAGAACTGTACCAAATAACAGAAACCACATCACTAGAAAACATCCACAATGAGTAGCAGTTTTTCTTTTGTTTCTTTTTATTGTCCATGTGCTTGTAATTCACACAAATATTTTAAACAAAACCAGAAATTCCTTGCAGTTACTGAGAAGAGGAATTCCGAAAGTGACTTGATTGGTTTGGTTTGTTTTGTTTTACAGCATATCAACACCTCAATGGGTCATTTAATGCCAACAACTTTTTTTTTTTTTTTGGTAATATTTTTGTTTTGTCAAAAATCTATTTCTGTTAATATTTTTTTTCCTCAAAAATGTATAGCTGGTAATATTTTTTCAAAAACGTATAGCTGGTAATATTATTTTTTTAAAAACATATAGCTGGTAATATTATTTTTTTAAAAACATATAGCTGGTAATATTATTTTTTTAAAAACATATAGCTGGTAATATTATTTTTTTAAAAACATATCTCTGGTAATATTATTCTTCCAAAAACGTATCGCTGGTAATATTCTTTTTTTAAAAACATATAGCTGGTAATATTATTCTTCCAAAAACGTATCGCTGGTAATATTCTTTTTTTAAAAACGTACAGCCGGCAACACTATTCTTTCAATAAAAAAAAATTAAAATTAAAAAAAGTATAGCTGGTAATATTTTTTCAAAAACATACAGCTGGCAACATTATTTTTTCAAAAAAAGTATTATCAGAGGCCTTGCTGTTGGACGTAGTTTATTGTCATACCCAGGACGAAAAGTGACTTGACTAATGAAAATTTGACTTACCCTTTGTTAAAATAAAAAAAACATTTTATGAAGGTGTTCAAATACCCAATGGTACTAATAAAAGGCCAAAGCATATGAAAAATCCTAATCACTGTTGCTTTGAAGATATGGATTAGAGTATCTTTGGAATAAAGAGTATCAATTAAGGAACAAGATCAACTTGGGGATAGAGAAAGAAATGTACAAGGCCGCTCATTAAAGATCAGAAATAAATTAGAGATAAAGAAACTTTCTGAGCTGACAAATGGCAGCCATTTTGATTTTGGGCTGATAGGAAAGAGAGGAGATCTCATTTCAAGTTATAAATCCAAAGTTCAATATCATAGAAGATACCATTTGAGATTCGTCAAATTGTATGTATGTTAATTATTAAGCAGGTGAGATTTGTATTTTTTTTTTGAAAATGGTATTTAAATTCCTTTAGGGTTATTTAATGCCATGATTTGTTTAATGGGGGATATTTCAGTTTTAGTTTGCAAGTTGAGTTCATTTGAAATTTTTTTCTATTTATAGGTCTGGACTCAAAATTTTTTTTTCATGATTAGTGTCCCTGATAAGAGTTTATGATAATGTTCCTGTTAATGACAAGTCCCTCTCCTTTAACATTCCATGGAGTAAAGAACTACGCAACAATATATTTGATATACCTAATGTTTCCTTATAAGGAATCATTTAGCATTTATTGACCAAGTAGCCAGTGTTATTTTGGGATGAAATTTATAAAACTGTTCTCATAAAATAATATTTCAGGAAAATAGGTTTCCCAAGTCCAGTTACTATTATTTCCCTTTCAAGGACTGGTGGGAGTTTCCATCCTAACTTTTTGTTTGAAGCAGTGTGAAACATCAACATCTTGATGATGCCATTTTTTTTTTTTTTTGAGTGACATATGCTATCCATTTTAATTGTTGCTGTTGTTGAAGGTCCTCAAGTGATGTTGATTCTGTAATTTAATATAGAACTCAATTTGTGATTCTATAACATCAATCCACAAGTTTCAAAGAAGGATGATCTTTGCCAAAATCCACAGGAAGGATTCACATACTCAAAGCAATTTTTAACCACTGATCTCAGAAAGCAATTGTATACAGCTGACAGTTTAGATATTTCTGAAAATATTTGAAACCATAAATGACATCCATACAAAAGTATCTGCCAAAACTATTTAAGAACATGACTTGAGTTTTAAGTTAAGGTTTTCATCTTCCAGCAATCTGCGGCATTGGCTGAATCTATTTTCTTCCCTCCTATACTGAATTCATTATAACTGATCCATACACTGATGTATATGAAGTGATTAGAAGAAGGATGGGATCTGCCAGGTTTAAAAAGGCCCAAGACATGCCACATGATGAGCACACCAAGAAAGCATTTGCAGAGAGCCAGGCTCTGGCACATGACCTCGACATATGGAAGAGAATAGTCGACAGCTCAGCATGTCAGTGCCCCAATGACTCCCTTCTGGGGGCTAAGGACAAAAAGAAAAAAAAGTTTTTAATAATTCCACATCCTGGATTTTCATGATGATTCAGGACACATGCTATCCCTACTTTCATTTCATTTTGTTGTGAAGGAGAATATTTCCCTACAAGTTTGGACCCAGTCATCAGATGAAAGACGTAAAAATACTCCTATATCAAGAGGAGTAGCAGCAGCAGGAGCAGTAGATTTTGATGAAAACAGTCATTCACAGCTAAACATTCTCTTTCCTAGTTTCTATTCTACATTATGTTTCCCTGTACCAAAAGGTAATAAATTTGTTGTTAAACAAATTCTGGTTTTCTACTGTTGTTTTTGATAACTCAGTTATAACAGTTTGGATCTCAACCTCGTTGACAAATTGCATCTATGCTTTTTTTTTTTTTAATAGATATAGCATCTTCAAATAAAATTTTTTAAAATATATTAGTATATAAATATATATCTTACATGCAATAGCCCGTAGCCTGGGGGCAGGGTTAGCCTGTGAGGGTGGACTATCAGGACTTGTATGACCATACATCTGGTAAGTTTGTTCTTGCTGAACAGTGATATTGTGCCGAAAAATCTGAAAAAAAAAAAAAAAAAAAAAAAATTATATTCCATATATATACTTGAGTATAATGTAAGTTTTTACAGTTTTTTTTAAACAAAAAGTAGATAATCACACTATACACAGGTAATTCTTTTGAAGAGGATAAAAAAATTTCATGCATTTTTGTTGAACTTGAGGGATTAAAATCCATACAAAAAAAATTCAGTGGGTTGAACTATACATGAAGTCAGCTTATACACAAATGACGTGTTGGAAGTTTTTTTTTTTTTTTTTCTTAAATATGAAGATGTTCACTCAAATTCAGCCATGCCCAACATGCAAAAGCTCAGAATAAATGCTCCTACCAGTATTCAAAACAGCATAAAAATACATCTCAGTTAAAACATGAAGAGAAACTAACAACACACATACAAAAAAAAAAAAACCTTGGAAATGGTTAAGGAACTGGCTAAAAGCACTTGGAACAATGGAATGGTATGGACAGTTTTTGTACTCCCTCACCCTGACTAAACAGAAAAACGCAAGAATGTTGGAAAAACTAAATAAAAAATTAAATAAATTTTCCTTGTCCATCATATTTAATGAAAGAAGTTTAAAAGAAAGATTGCTGCCCAAATAATCATTAATTTATTAGATGCAATATGAACAAAAGAAAAAAATTGAATCTACATACTAAATTATTTTTTTTCATACAGACATGAATTTAAATATGTAACCTAGAAAAGGTTACTGAATTAGGGATAAACAAAACGGAGGTTGGAAATGAAAATCTTTATAACATCGCCAGCAACATGAAGTAGGTAAACCACTGCTAGTGTTGGACTACTTGGACAGCATATTTCCCCTCAAAATATTTATGAGGATTGGGACATACCCATTAGTGTTCATAGGTATGGTATATAACAAAATCTTTTCTGGGTATAATTTCTAAATTTACAAAAAAAAGTTTTGAGGTAATTCAAAGTTAAATTCAATTCGTGAGTTATTTATACAAATTAACTCCCTCAAAAACATATATGTACTGACAGGATTATGATCAAGGCATATGGGAGAAGCATTTTATTTATGGCTTACAGCCACTTCACATTGAAATAATGGTTCCCATACAATCACCAAAGTTAAGCAACATTGAGACTGCTCAGTACCTAGACGGGTGACTGCTTGGGAATACCAGGTGCTGTAAGCTTGAATGTGCAGGGAGAGTAATGGATAAGGGTTCAGAATTGTTAATCAGAGAACCGAGTTTTGGTAAAATCACTTACAGCAAGACTAGTCAGTACCTAGTAGAAAGGGTGTCTACATCCATTATGTGTGAGGTATTTCTGCTGTATACTATATTATTTGTAACAACTTCTATAATGAGTAATTATAATGATAATAGTTCATTTTTTTCAGAATTTCACAATTTATGGCCATATCACATTGAAACACTAGTCTCATCATTTATGAATATCAGTTTTTTTTTATCATTTATGAATATCTGGGTTTTTTTTCGGGGGGGGCATCATTTGTGTATATATGTTTTTTCCTTCATTTATGAATATCTGTTTTTTTTGGGAGCTATTTATGAATATCTGGAATTTTTTCATCACTTCTGAATATCTGTTTATTTTGTCATCATGTATCAATATCTGTTTTTTTTTAGTCATCATTTATCAATATCTGTTATCATTTATCAGTATCTGTTTTTTTTGCCAGCATTTATGAATGTCTGGGTTTTTTTTTCATCATTTATGAATATCTGGGGGTTTTTTCATCATTTATGAATATCTGAGGGGGTTTTTTTTTGCATCATTTATTTATATATGGGTTTTTTCATAATTTATGAATATCTGTTTTTTGGGGGTTTTTTTTCATCATGTTTTTTTTTTACATTTATGAATATCTGTTTTTTTTTTTTTTCATGATTTATGAATGTCGGGGTTTTTTTTTCATCATTTATGAATGTTGGGGTTTTTTTTTTTCCCATCATTTATGAATAATTGGGTTTTTTTTTTTTCATCATTTATGAATATCTGGGTTTTTTTTTTCATCATTTATGAATATCTGGGGTTTTTTTTCATCATTTATGAATATCTGGGGTTTTTTTTTTTTCATCATTTATGAATATCTGGGGTTTTTTTTTCATCATTTATGAATATCTGGGGTTTTTTTTTCATCATTTATGAATATCTGGGGTTTTTTTTTCATCATTTATGAATATCTGGGTTTTTTTTTCATCATTTATGAATATCTGGGGTTTTGTATGTTTCTACATGTGGTGAATACAATAAAACCCTTGAAAAGAAGACAAGTTCACATATACACATTTGAAGTGTTTTTATATAAACCCTTGAAAGATGAAAGTTGACATACGCACATTGAGTTGTGTTTATAATAAAAAGCCCCTTGTAAAAGGGAAAGTTTGTAGCTTGATTTTTTTGTGGAATCTACGTCAGAAAAGCAGGAAATGCTGTTTCAGTTGATTAATAATCCATTCTCTAATTATTCCTTGGTGTATGGTCTGTATTTAAGCAGGTGCTTTTTCACAAAAAAAAGTCCTTAAAAAATATGCGGGAAGTGCTGTCAGTCGTCAATTAATAATTTACATTATATTTCAAATATTTATAAAACATTGCCAGAAGTGCTACTTGGAGCCTATGTGCAAATGACCAATTTTGGTCATTTGACACCCGACTATTAAGACAGCAACTTCCTGTTGATCTGACAACTTTAATTCCAGTAATCATTATACACAATCAATCTTTCTTTTATGTTTCCGCTCTCCCCGCTAGCATCATCAGGTTAAGAATTATTGCCAAAAAATATATTTAAGAAAATATACTAAATAACCCCAATGAATCAAGCAAATAATACATTAAGTACAGCAAGCCTAAATAGAGCCAATGCTTTTGAACAGAAATGCATAACCACTAATAACATCCAACTGCACAACTGTACCAATTAATTAAATAAACAAATATTGCATCATACTTGATGTAATCATACCAATCAAGCTAAATGACTTTCATAGTCAATCTTGAAAAAAAGGGATTGTTATCTGAAAATCAACTTGGAACAATTAAAAAAGATCAAGCAATGTTTAATGTAGCATTAAATAAGTCTCATCAAAATAAAAGCTACTTGGATAGATGTAAGTAAGGCTTTTGATCCTGTTGACCATTGAGCTCAGTGCCTTTCTTTCATCTGCATTGAAGAATACAAAACACACTAAAATTTAGATCAGTGTCATTAACACACCAACCCCATTTGACCCCTTCACTATCATCGACCCTCTGGAACTCCTCACCAACCCAAGGTGGGAGTGGGTCACTCAAACCGTTTGACAACACCTGGTCTAATTCTACCTACCATCATACTATCAACATCTGTCTGCCTTTGACAATATGGACCAACATGACATCGTAAAATTGTTCTTGTAAATTAAATGAAAAAAATAATTTTTTTTTTTTTTAAAAAAATAAAAAGTTAAGATAAATCGTTAAACTTACTTGATGGTTCACTGATTGTTTTCCCACCAGACTCCATTTTCAACCGCATCTTTTTGAATTTTCCTTTACGTTTCTTTGGAGTTGGCTTGCTGATGTCCTGTTGCAGGATTATCACATTCAGTTCCCTACCTAGCAAGTCAATCTCCCGTTCAGCCAATTCTTGTTCACGTTTCTTCAATAACTCCTCATGTATCTTTTGCTGAAGAGCAGCCTTGGTTAATTCCTCCTCACGGCACCGCAACTCCTTAAAAATGAATAATGTTTCATTTCAGACAAGCAGGAAAAAAAAAACAAGAAAACAACACATGCAAGCATTTTAAAGGAGAGATGCCTATTTAACATGTTCAATACAACACTTAAACTTATCAGCAACACTCCTACAAAACATCTCACATATCTACGCATTCATTTCAGAAATTTTATCAGAAATTGCTTATTTTAATTCTTGTATAGTTCTCAGTTTGAGCCTGTAAACAAGATCTTTCTGTAGAGCCAACAAGAAAAAATCTGGGTGTTAGGTCAGGTGATCATGATGGTCACTCAATTACACGACGTCATCCCCACCTCAGCCAAAAAAATAAAAAATAAAAAAATAAAAATAAAATAAAATAAAAAGTTGTTACTTTTGCTGTGTGTGTGTGTGTATATATATATATATATATATATATATATATATACACACACAACACGTTTCATTAAATAATATAGACAAGTGTTGTCTACTTATTTTATGTAAACTCTTTGATAATGGCCTCTGTAAACCGAAAGCTTAGATTGTATTAAAAAAAAAAAAAAAAAATATGGATCAATATTGTGAATTTCTTTCTTCATTCAATTATAATGTTATTAAACTTATTAGACGTTATGAAAAGAGTTTACATAAAATAAATAGACAACACTTGTCTATATTATTTAATGAAACATGTATAAATTAAAAGATGCTGCCTATACACACAATATATATATATATATATATATACACACACAATAATAATAATAATAATAATAATAGCTGGCCACTCATATTCATGATACACATCTACTAGAGCAGCTAGCCAATTCGTATTGCAGGCGCTTGCTCAGGTGCATTTGTGTTTGCACACCCAAAATACTTTTACAAACTTTGTGGGCAGGTTCCTGACAACAAAACTTGGTAAAATGTCCATATAAACATATGTCCAAAAGGCCATCGATGTACCTGATGCAGCAATTCATAACATGTTTAAAATGTCCTCAGCTTGCTTCAACACACGTATGCACCTGTCAGATCATTGACTAGTGGACCCTTTCAAATACACCCACATGGCTTTTAGGCCTCCATGACACGCTGATGAAGCGTCTCTGCATTATTAATGTATGCCGCATAAACCAATTGTTTTAGGTGGCCCCACAGATAAAAATCCAAAGGATTAACATTGGAGGAACATGCAGACCATGGAACCAGTCCTCCCTAAGTAGCCATCTTTCATTGTAGATATCAGCCAGTGCATCATAAACAATGTGACTTAGTTTATATATATATATATATATATATATATATATATATATATATATACACTCTCTTATACACATCACTTGATTTATATCTTTGTACAAATTACACAAATCAGTTCAGATCAGCTTGTGAATTCATGTTTTCATTCTTTTCTATTTACATAAATTTCACCATGATTTCCAGATCTGTTTTTTTTTTTTTGTGTGTCTGTGTTTCTGTCTTAAATTAACTTTTTTTTCTTCTTTAAATTCCACATCTCTTCAGGGCACAGGCAATCATGGCCTTCCACAGGTAGCTTTTCTTTGTTATCTACAAACAGCCATGACAATCCATCTCTGAGATTGGTTGCCAAACAAGCTTAGTGTCAGGTTACCTCCTCCTAATTATCAAAACTGCTCCTAGGGGACACTCTCAGGACTATAAATACCCTGCGATAATTTTTTTTTTATCACTCTTCTGATCTTATCCACAAACATGTAACATCTTACGAAGAACACTTTCCCTTTTGAAAATGCATGAAAAATACATACATACATACACACACGTATGTATGCACATTCACTCACTACACATACTTTGGACCATTAGGCTTTCACATTCATTTGACACATACATCTTTGTCACTTGTAACCCTTTATTGTTAATACATTATCATTTGTTTTATATATATATATATATATATATATATATATATATATATATATATATATACGGGTGCTTGTTGTTTCTTTACGCTTCTTAGTGAACTCATCCCAAGTCCGCCATGTTGTTGTGGGTATTTCAGGAAACCCATGTTCATCTCTCAACATATGCCCTGCAACACTAGAGTGTCTAGTCTATCCTGCTATTTAACCCATAAAGATGTGCATTTGTGTCAAAGTGAATGAAACAGAGTAATCTGAAATTTGAACTCTGCTCACCGATTTCACTTAAAGCATGGATAACCGCAACACTTGCATCCTGACATGAAAGCTGAAAGTCACTTATAAAAAGAATAAAACTTGCCGCTCCAAGTTAAATTATTCTTAAAGAACATAAAAACCTTTGTTTACCAAATATTAACTACAAACAGAAATATTTTCTCCCACAGCTACTTTCAACAAAAATGTCTTTAAAAAAATAAAAATAAAAAACAAGGTTTTCAGTGATAACTTATTTTTTGGGGGTTTTTTTAAGTTTCTTTTTTCTTTTAATCCCCACCCAATGTTATGAAGATTTTTTTTCTTTAAAAAGAAAGAAACAAAGAAAAAAGAAAAGGGAATCCAACATGGATTATTTTTTGAGTTATCAAGTGTCAGAATGACAAAAAAAAGAAGTGAATGAAATATTTCTTTTTGTAAGGTAATATAATAATAAAAGTCTTATATTTAAGACTGAACAGCCAAGTGATGTCACACTTGACTGACCAACCAAAAGACTTGTTCATCCCCCACCCCCAGGAGGGTGTGGTATCAATATAAAAAGTAAAAGAGAAAGGGAAAATCAAGTCCCATTTGCACCAAGAATGTGTGTGATGCAATCAACTTTCAATGGAAAAAGGAGGGTAAAGTTTGAAGGGGGGGTGGATCACTGAAAGAAGAATTGTAACATGAAAGAGAATAATTTAGGCAAAGCTAATTTACAAGAAAAATAAAAGTATCAGACTTTTTAAAAAGACTACCTATGTGCCATATTATGCATGAAAATGCAACAACTATTATGGGACAGAGATAATAAAGAATACTACCTGTCCCATAATTGTTGCAACATTTAGTCTATAACATGTGTATGTAATTGCAGCAACTATTATGGGACCAAATTAGTATTGTTTTCCAACTTCTGGTCCAATCTATTACATTCACTCACGTGCTAATACCCTTGGGAAAGGTATGAATCATCTTCTCCTCCCAGCTATGACAGACCAGGTACTATAGCCTTGGATGGCAACTGGTCTCCCACACAACTTCAATATAATTATTTGAATTGAATTAAAGTACTAAGCTCTGTTCCATCTTCAAGCAAATTTTTTTTTTTTTTGGAATAACTAATTCTTGAAATTTACATGTTTTATAAGCATATTCATTATTAAAATTAAAATTACTATGGTAATGGATAGAGGAATTATTTAAAAAAAAAAAAAAAAAAAAAAAAAAAAAAAAAAAAAAAAGGGTGTAAGGGTTAATAATTTGTATCAATATCTCAGTTACATTCAAAGAGGTCAAGTCAGGGTAAGGTTGGGGTGTCTAAATTCAAAGAGGAAGATGACATCGTCTAGTCTGGTTAAGTGTCTATGGAGATTTATTTATTTTTTTATTTTTACCCTGAAAGGGTTTTGTGTATAGAAAAAACTGTCAAAATTCACTAATATTTGTTTTTTGACAACTTCATAAAGGGTTTTTTTTTTTTTTTTTTTATTGGGTAGGGCATTTAAACTTTTTATTTAGACTGTGGAGTTTAAAATTTGTATTTATTATTTTATTGTTTGTTTTTTATGCTAATTATTCAATGCGAAAATATGATAATAATTGCGAGATCTTTTTCTTTTTCAAATATATTTTCTATTACAAGAAGTAGATAGGTTCAATAATTTTCTGGGTCATACTCCTCCCCGGTTGTTTGGGCAGGAGTAGAGGTTTATCCCTTGTTTCCTGTTTAGGATTGGGTTTCTGATTCCTTCTAAAGTATGCTTCAGTTTTTCTCTCCTCCACCAAAAGTAGTAGATAAGTTCACCTATCATCTGGTTCACACTCCTCCCTGGTTTTTTGAACAGGAGTAGAGGTTTATCCCTTTCTTGATTAGGATTTGACTTCCAGTTCCTTCTGAAGTCTACTTCAGCTCTATACTCCTAATGTCTGCATCTGTCAACTAACTTCTAACGCTTGCCTTTACTTATGCTAACACCAGACAGTAACCTTCTACCTTGAGTGGCTCTTGGGCTTTGTATTGGGTTAACATTAGTCAAGAAAAAAAAAAACACAGAATTTGTTTCCAAAAATCATACAACTGATAAAAGAAAATAGACAATGCACAAACATTTTAATGTAATGTTTAATATAAGCTGTTTGATCAGTTCAAAAAGTGTGGCTCAACAGCCAAACAATCTTTTGTTGAACTGATAAAATAACATTGAACATTTATAAGATAAAGCCTGTATTTAGGTTATAAGAAATGGAATGAACAACAAAGAACAAGTCTTCCTTGATATCAACAAGGATAGAATTGAAACTTGATCTAGAGTTAGCTTAAATTTCAGTGTTCCAATTGCATATTATTTAACTTCCTTTTTTTAATACTTACTTTACCCTCTGACCATCATCAAGTGTCCTTTGTTTGGGCTTATATGACATATCATATATAATTGGGTATAGAGCATGTTTTTATGATCATTTTTTTTTTGTTTTTTTACAAAAACAACAGGGGCTCACACTATACACAAGTATTTTTTTTTTCTTTTAAAGAGGTTAAAAATTATGTATTTTTGGTGACCAGTTACATTATAAACAGGTGAATTTTTTCTGAGGGGGTCAAAAGTCATGTATAAAAATTCAGGGTTTGCACTATACGACTTATACACAAATATATATGGTATCTGTTGTCTTATTTTTTTTTTTTTGTCCCTGTGATGCCACTTCTCAGTTTGTTCCTGTTGAACAAGTGGATATTGTTTTCACTAACTGATCCCAGGATTGAACTCATGCCCACTAGATGATAGTAATACAAGTTTAACCAACTTTTATATACAATACACCACTTTACATGTATTTTTGGAA